CTCCTGGGCGAGCACGACGACGACGACGACGGCGGCGACGGCGGGAGCGGCGGCGGCGGCGGCGGCATCGGCGGCGGCGACGGTGACGGCAACGGCAGTGACGAGAGGCGCAGGGAGAGGAGGCGGGGAGGAGGGGAGGAGGGAAAAAAGGAAGGAGGGGGAGGCGGAGGAGGGAGGGGCGCAGAGAAGACAGACGGAGGAAGCAGAAGGAGGCAGGAGAGACAGGGGGCTTCTAGAGAGCCAAACACGCAGCAGCAACAACAACAACAACAACGGCAACAGCAGCAACAACAACAACAACAACAATCCGCCGGCCCCCTGTGGGGCTGTAGGCCGAAACTTCGCAGTTTCCTGTACCAGTTGCAGCTTCCAGTTTCCACTGTTACAGTTCTGCTTCTTGCTGCTTACTGTGTTACAGTTCTGCTTCTTGCTGCTTACAATTCCTTGTTGATGGACCGCGCGAGGGGGGGAAGCCCCAAACGGTTTTTTTTACCACGCCCTGAGCGTGTGTTCTGAATTACTGGGGCGAGTAAGAATTGACACCCTTCTCGCAGATCGGCGGAATCAGTGTCCAAAAACACATCGGATTTGCCACATGTCTTGAATTCGGCGGCACCCCTGACGCAGATCCGTAGGGTCAGGGTCCAAAAACACATGGGATTTGCCACATGTTTAAAATTTGCTAGCACCCCTCACGCAGATCGGCGGGGTCAGGGTGCAAAAACAAATGGGATTTGCAACATTTCTAGCATTCGGTGGCACCCCTCACGCAGATCGGCGGGGTCAGGGTGCAAAAACACAAAAGATTTGCCACATGTCTGGAAGTCGGCGGCACCCCTCACGCAGATCCGTAGGGTCAGGGTCCAAAAAAACACTAACGATTTGCCACATTTTTGAGATTCGGTGGCACCCGTGACGCAGATCCGTAGGGTCAGGGTCGAAAAACAAACAGGTCCCGACACTGCTTCACGGCGGCGCCCAGACCTCATGATTTAGCTCTTGCATCTCCCATTATCCGAGACACGGGGCCGGCGGCATGGGGCGAAGCCCGTACGGATAACAACATCAACAACAACAACAGTTTTAAGACTTTTCGACCTTATATGATCGAGTGTCCAATAACGCGTATTTCCCAAACCCTCGATACCCGCCCTCTTCGTCTTCGATCGAACTCCTTTTGGGGGAAAACCTTCCTTCCCTGCAGGCCGGGCCCCGGCAAGCGGCGGGGCGGCCGCGGACCGTCGGCCTGGCCAGCGGCAGCGCTGATCGGCGGGGCGGCCGCGGACCGTCGACCCGACCCCAAGAGGGACGGACAGGGGACCGACCACGACGACGACGACGACGACGACGACGTCGACGACGACGGCGACGACGACGACGACGGCGACGACGAGCGAAAACGAGAGCGAGAGAGAACGACAGCAGGGCCACGAAGGGCACGAAGTAGGCCACGAAGGGCGACAGCGGGGACACGAAGGGAATGCGTATGGGGCCACGAAGAGCGCGAACGAGCGGGGGCCACGAAGTGCAGATAATGCGGGGCCACAGGAGGCAACTATGGGGCCACTGAGGGTAGCAACTGGGCCACGTAGGACGGTGAGGGGAACACAAATGGCGACAGCGGGGCCGCGAAGGGCACGCACATGGGGCCGCAACGGGCGCGACTCCTGGGTGACTGGGTGTCGGGAGCGCAGCGCTTGGGTAAACCGCAGGAAATTCCAACGCAAGGCCATTCTTCAGCAATTTGCAACCAAGTCTCCAACGAGAGCGCGACTCCAGAGCGCCGGGAGAACAATTCCTGCATAAATTGCAAGGAAGTCCCAAGAGAGAGCGCGATTCCTGAATACAAATGCGAGGAAGTCTCGGGCGGGAGCGGGGGTCCTGGCTAAATTGTAAGGAAGCCTCAAGCGGGAGCCGTTGTTGTTGTAACCCGGGGGCCAAGGGCCCAGTTTGAGCATCAAGACTTTCCCTGTCAAGAAAAGGGTGCGAGCGTCGAGGAGCACACACCGATTGAGAAAAAACAGTATGCACCGGTAGGGGGGGTTCAACAATATTTGTTCGGAAATGTGAATTCATCATCAACAACAACAACACCACCAACACCACCACCACCACCACCACCAACAACAACAACAACAACAACAGCAACAACAGCAACAACAATTTTAAGACTTTTCGCGTATTTCCCAAACCCTCGATACCCGCCCTCTTCGTCTTCGATCGAACCCTTTTTGGGGGGTATACCTTTCTTCCCTGCAGGCCGGGCCCCGGCAAGCGGCGGGGCGGCCGCGGACCGTCGGCCTGGCCAGCGGCAGCGCTGATCGGCGGGGCGGCCGCGGACCGTCGACCCGACCCCAAGAGGGACGGACAGGGGACCGACCACGACGACGACGACGACGACGACGACGACGACGACGACGACGACGACGACGACGTAGGCCACGAAGGGCGACAGCGGGGACACGAAGGGAATGCGTATGGGGCCATGCAGATAATGCGGGGCCACAGAAGGCAACTATGGGGCCACTGAGGGTAGCAACTGGGCCACGTAGGACAGTGAGGGGGACACAAATGGCGACAGCGGGGCCACGAAGGGCACGCACATGGGGCCACAACGGGCGCGACTCCTGGGTGCCTGGGTGTCGGGAGCGCGGCGCTTGGGCAAATTGCAGGAAATTCCAACGCAAGGCCATTCTTCAGTAAGTTGCAAGCAATGCTCCAACGAGAGCGCGACTCCAGAGCGCCGGGAGAACAATTCCTGCATAAATTGTAAGGAAGTCCCAAGCGAGAGCGCGATTCCTGAATAAAATGCGGGGAAGTTTCGGGCGGGAGCGGGGGTCCTGGCTAAACTGTAACGACGTCTCAAGCGGGAGCCGTTGTTGTTGTAACCCAGGGGCCAGGGGCACAGTCTGAGCATCAAGACTTTCCCTGTCAAAAAAACAGTATGCACCGGTGGGGGGATCACCAATAGTTGTTTTTCAGAAGTGGGAATTCAACAACAAGAACAACAACTACAACAACAACAACAACAAAAACAATCATTTAAGACTGGGGACACTCCGTTCTCACCAGTGCCAGGGTTTTCATAGGAGGCGGGCAATACCCCCACTTTGTGGGGGGGCCGGTTCAAGCTCTACCAAGTTTCCAAACGACTCTTCGCCACCACCCACACCCAGCTTCCCGCCCTATGACGTTCGGACACTTCACTTCGTGGCATGCGGACGACCGTGGCTACTATTCAGGGCCCCGCGGCCGACGACGACGGCGTGCGCGCGCGAAGAAAAAACGAATGTGTCCCGCATGGTATTATTTGACAGGGATGATGGCCCTGGCAGGTGCGCAACCGTTGTCGCAGAAGTTCGAAAAAGTTGCTCGCAAAAGCCCGTTTGACAGAAATGTTTAAAAAGTGTTGGGTTTCCTACGAATCCGCAAGAGCGCGCGGGATGAGATTTTGACATTTTTTTGTTGAAAAACCATTGGTTTTTTGATGTTTTTATGTTAAAATCGCTCCGAACACTAAGCTTTTGGAAGGATTTCGTCTTGCGCGCGCGAATGTCCACTTTACCTTATTTTTTGCAAGGGATTCTTGAAATTTGATTATATTAGAACAAGAAATGTCATTTTATAGTGTTTTTTGCAAGGGAAAACGGATTACAACAAAACAACCGGATCTGGACCCCATCCACTTTTCTGAAGCTTTCGCGAAAAAATGATGAAAATGTAGCTGCGGCCTAGGCGCGGCGGGGGGGCCGTGCACCAGGGGTCCCAACAATAATTATTCTTTAGAATTAATAATGTTCAACAACAACAACAACAACAACAACAACAACATCAACAACAACAACAACAACAACAACAACAACAACAACAACAACAACAACAACAACGACAACGACAACAACAACAACAACAGCAATAACAACAACAACAACAACAACAACAACAACAACAACAACATCAGCAACAGCAGCAGCAACAGCAGCAACAGCAGCAACAGCAACAGCAACAACACGGACGACGACGATGACGAGAGCAACAGTCCTTTGCAAAACTGTTCGCTCATATCCGTCCACGTGCCAATCGATGCGCTTTCCCAACCCCTCGGTACCCGCCCCCGTCGTCTCCGATCGTACCTCCTTGGGGGTATATCTGCCATGCCTCCCACGTGTATTTAGTGCTGCCCTTAAAACCAAGGAAGAGAGGACGGCTGAAAGGGGACGGGGAAGAATGGAGCACGAGAGAAATTAGCAGGAAAGGGGCAAGGAACAGAAAACAAGTGGTAGAACCAGACGGGCACATCGGGTGGGCAGACCCATAGCGGGCAGGTCGGGAAGGCGGGCCCGGGCGACAGCGGGGCCACGAAGAGCACGCAGATAGGGCCACGACGGGCGCGAGCGAGCAAGGGCCACGAAGGACATTCATATACGGGCCAGAAAGGGCGACAGCGGGACAACTGATGGGAAGCAAAGGAGCCACGAAGGGCAGCGAGACGGGCCACGAAGGGCGACAGCGGGGCTACGAAGGGCATGCGTCTGGGGCCACGACGGGCGCGTGCGAGGGGGGGCCACGAAGGGCATATTATGCGGGGCCACAAAAGACAGCGACGGGGCCACTGATTGCAGCAACGCGGCCACGAAGGGCAGCGAGCGAACGCGACCGCAGAACCAGTACGGGCAGCGAGGGGCATCGAAGGCGGGGGAAAGGCAGCGAGCGGCGACTGCAGTCATTAACGGGCTGGTCGGGCGGGTCGAGCGGGCGGGTCGTTGAAGCGCGAGTCCTGCTTGAACCGCCATTCAAAAACGCATCGGGAGCGCGATTCGTGAGTGTCGAGGACCGACATCTGAAGGAAATTGTGAGGAAATATCAAGCGAAGCAGTTGGGTAAGTTGCGAGAAAGTCCCAAGCGAGAACGCGAGTCTGCAATGAATTTTCAGGAAATGTCAAAAGGGAGCAACGATTCGCTGGTAAATCGCCAGGAAATCCCAAGCGAGAGAGCGATTC